CTAATGCATCAGTATGAAAAATCAGTCTTATTTCAAGACATTATATTAGGTTTGGAAGCGTTTTGGCGAAATAAGCTCATTGACAGTTTACTGTCAATGTAGGATTATCTTGACACTGATTAATTTTTACGTCTAGCAGTGGAAAGACCAACTTCCAAGTTCGTGTAGATACTTTGGTTATTGTGAATTTATACTGCAAAACTAAAAAGAAAATGAAGACAACTCTTGGATGTTTGTCTCAATCTGCTCTAATTGAATGAAATTTAGTGACTTAGTTTTTCAGTTTGAATTTCGCGTAAGGTCAGTATGTTACAGACAATTATCTGTTCGATGTCTCTCTGGTGTCATCGCTTTCACTTAGTAACTGAATGCTCTAGATGACTGATAGTTTGCTTCTCAAATTGTTCAAGACCTTATTAACAATAAGTTTGCAATATTAACGTTCAACACTTCTCCATTACAAGTGAATCAAGCTGTCACTATATGTACACAGTATCAGTCGTTTTGATTAAGTTATCTGATGTCAAGCAACAAGGTTTATATTGTCTGACTTGCTTATTTACTAACGAACTGTTACCACTCGTGGAGGACCATTAACCGCTCACCAGCACTCTCCATCCAACTTTTTCCGAACAACCATTCCCAGTTCCTTCCAGTTGCTACTCATGTCTGCTTTATATTCTCGGCGCAGTGAGTTCTTTGACCTTCCTCTTTCCTGCTTCCCATCAGGATCCAAAGTTAGGGCTTGCCTCGTGATTCAGTTTGATGATTTCCTTAATGTGTGTCCTATCTATCCACTTCCAACATCTATTTCCAATTTCGTCCTCGGCTGGAAACTGGTTTGTTCTCTCCCATACTAGGCTGTTGCTGCTGGCATCCGGTCAACGAACATTCAGTATCTTACAATCCTCGCCTTTACGTCTGCGTCAGATTCTCCTCGTTTATCGACGGTGTTGTCCAGGTACGTGAACGTTTCCACATCTTCCAGAGTTTCTCCATCAAGTGTGATTGCGTTGGTGTTCTCCATGTTGTATTTAAGGATTTTGCTGTTTTTTGTGTATGTTGAAGCCTACTGATGTAGAGGCTGTTGCTACACTAATTGTCTTCATCTGCAGTTGTTCGTGTGTTTGAGATAGGTCATCTGCGAAGTCTAAATCGTTTAATTGGTTCTGAGCTGTCCATTGTATTCCGTGATTTCCCTCAGATGTCGAGGTCTTCATAATCCAGTCAACCACCAAAAGAAAGAGGAGGAGGGAGAGTAGACAGCCTCGTCTGACTCCGGTCCTCACTTGTAATGCATCTGTCAGATGTCCTCCATGCACGACCTTGCACTGTAGTCCATCGTATGAGTTCCGTATAATGTTGACAATGTTCTCAGGAACTCCATAGTGTCGAATAAGTTTCCATAATATTTTCCTGTTTACACTGTCGGATGCCTTCTCATAGTCAATGAAGTTGATGTATAGTGACGCGTTCCACTCAACTAATTGTTCGACGATTATCCATAGTGTCGCAATTTGGTCTGTGCACGACCGATCCTTACGGAATCCAGACTGTTGATCTCGGATTTGGGCGTCTTTCATGCTGTTCAGCAACACTCTGTCGGAGACTTTCCCAGATACTGACAGTAGTGTGATGCCTCTGTTTTTCTCACACTTGCTCAAGTCTCCTTTCTTTGGTATCTTGATGAGATATAAGAGCATGCTAATGAGCTGGAAGCAGCAGCTGCATTTGGTAACTACCGGAAGCTCTTCCAACTCATCCGAGCCACTGGCAGCAAGAAGTCTGGTGTGAGTGAAACAATCTGCGAGGATGATGGGATGCCAATCACTAACATCCATCGACGTCTTGGACGATGGGCAGAATTTTTCGAAGGGCAGTTCAACTGGCCTGCTGCTCCGGCAACATCGGTCAGACTGTCCTGCCCTCCATGGCCGGTGACGACTGATCCACCAAATGAGGAGGAAGTCCGCAAGGAACTCCAACTCTTGAAGCGTTACAAATCACCTGGCCCAGATGACTTACCTCCGGCTCTTTTTAAAGATGGTGGTGACTTTTTGACTAAGGAATTGACGACGTTGTTTACAAAGGTTTGGGAACTAGAGAGTGTACCAACGTCATGGAATGAGTCGATAGTTGTCCCTATCTTTAAAAAGGGTTCACGTCGTTCCTGTAACAACTATCGGGGGATAAGTCTACTTCCGATTGCGTCCAAGCTATTGGCTTCCGTCATACTTCGTAGGTTGTTCAAAACCCGAGAAAGATTGACTCGCGAGGAGCAGGCTGGGTTTCGTTCTGGTCGAGGATGTATTGATCATATCTTCACCCTCCGCCAAATGTTAGAACACCGCCATACTTATCAAAGGCCAACAATCGTAGTGTTTCTTGACATCAGGGCTGCCTTCGATTCGTTGGATAGGACTGTTCTCTGGGATTGTCTATTGAAGAAGGGTGTGCCTGAGAAGTTTATTAACATCCTAAAAGCCCTGTATAAAAACACCTCAGGCAGAGTGAGGGCATACAACCACCTCTCTCCATTGTTCCATTCGAGCAGTGGGGTTAGGCAGGGTTGCCCAATCTCACCATTCCTCTTCAACTTTGCCATCGATGACATTCTGGAAACAGCTCTGATGAATGTAAGTAATGGTGGTGTGGATCTGTTGCCTGGAGAAAGACTTCTCGACCTTGAGTATGCGGACGATATTGTCTTACTGTGCGATAATGCCCAAGGCATGCAATCCGCACTTAATCAGTTGGCAATCAGTGTCCGTAGGTATGGTATGTGCTTTGCACCTTCGAAGTGCAAAGTACTTCTACAAGACTGGCAGGATTCTAATCCTGTACTCACCCTGGATGGTGAGCAGATAGACGTAGTCGAGAAGTTCGTGTATCTGGGTAGCTGCATAAGTGCTGGTGGGGGTGTGAGTGATGAGATCAATGCACGTATAGTGAAAGCCAGAGCGGCTTATGCCAATCTGGGCCACCTTTGGCGCCTTCGTGATGTTAGTCTGGCTGTAAAAGGTCGGATCTACAACGCGTCGGTGAGAGCAGTTTTGCTCTATGCTTGTGAAACCTGGCCTCTCCGAGTTGAGGACGTTAGACGACTCTCTGTGTTCGATCATCGCTGTCTCCGAAGGATTGCTGACATTCAGTGGCAACACCATGTCAGTAATGCAGAGGTTCGGCATCGTGTGTTCGGGCACAGAGATGATAATCAATTGGTGTCACCATCTTGAAACACCGACTTCGGTGGCTTGGACGTTCTCCGAATGTCGTCCCAGAGAATTCCACGTCGTGCATTATTTGCCGACTCTGGGACTGGTTGGAAGAAGCGGAGAGGTGGTCAGTGCATGACATGGTGTCGTGGCATGAAAGAAAGCTGCAAAGGACTGGCTTGTGTTGGTCCTTCACGACTCCCTGGTTGGGGTCCGAGAGATGGTGCTACACAGTGGCTAGAGACGTTATCAGATATGGCTCAGAATAGAAGCCAGTGGCGATCCTGCTGTAACCTTCTTTTACTTTCTTCATAAGAAGTGGTTGTGTCTCCCTTACCTGAAAGAATTCTTCTGGTTGTACCTTTCCGTTTCTCCCATTATTATTATCACACTACCACACACTGATCTGTGGTCGTTATTGATATTTTTCTTATGCGCACCTTACCTTCTTGTTCTCCCTCCATTCTCATTTTGTGTGGCGTATATATATCTGGTGCCCCCCTTGTACCGATATTTATGTGTTCAAATAAATAAAACGTTTTATGACATATTTTCAACCCCTCTAATTAATTAATTAATTTGATTATTGGAGTCGTCCTTCTTCCATTTACATCATCAGCACAAAATTCAGGTAGAAGTGAAGCTTGTGCTTATGATGTTCATAATAACGATGAAAACTCTACGATCAAACCATTCAGCTCAGAGAACAAAACTCCACCAAAATCTTCCACCTGAGTTACAAATCTTCGCCATCGCATTTACAATGCAGTGTTTGGTTGTCTCATAGACATCTGTTATGAATATATAATGTAAACACATAAGTAACCTGGGATTGTCACTGAGCTTTATTTAACAACCAACTCCACGTGAAACTACGATAACGACTGTTGATTGCATAGCAATATACAAACGGTTGTTTCGCTACGGAAAAAGATCTAGGTAATATTTTATGCTACTTATTCCATGTTAGTAGTATTATAAAACTGAGAGACATATGAATAGTAAGTCTGACAGATAACAAAACTGGACAACAGAATTACTCATTGTGTTAGAATGCTATGAATATAATAGTTCGCTCTTTGAAGTGAGAAAAAAAATCCACGAAAACATTCTTAGTATTTAACTTGGAAAAGATGAGTTATATCTTTTGTTCAAAAGTATAGATCTATAAGGATTAGATTCTACTTACAAAATGATGCTCATTTTTACTTCATTTAATTTGAATTAGACAAGTAAAACGTAACCTAATAACATACAATAGTTTTAACTCATTGTTTAATACATAACCCTATGAACGGTTAGTGAATTGCACTGTTTAATTTTTGTTTTCATGTAGTATTGCGGTGTATGCTACTTATGTCGAAAGACATAAGTAGTATGTAACACCAATCGAAAGTAGTAAACCTGGTAGTAGAAAACTAAGAAGAGAGTTTAAGAAAATATAAAGGAAAATAGAAAGGAATTGTGAACTTGAAGAATCATACAGAATGTGAAAGACAAATGATGGAGATTTACAAATGAAGTATTCACTATATGGTTCTTATATTGTACCAAGATACTCTGTAATTTTGTTTTAAAATACATTAGATTGTCACCCACCTATGTTTTCGTTCATTAAAATACCAATACATGTCAATTAGGAAAAATGATTCATTGTTAGATCATATTGTCCATATTTGATAACTTTGTAAAAATCAAACTATCAGTTGGGATACATCTGTATATTTGTAAATTATTCTTATTGCAAAAAATATATATCATTACAAAAAGTCTTTTAACTAGTATTCATCTTGATTCAATTCTCCGCGTTTTTGATGGTCGACTGATTTCTTCATCGCTAGAGATGATTAATTGAGGACTGGTTTCTCGAACTGAATGAGCTCGTTTTAATAACTTACGACTAGGTTCTTCTTTATTCTCATCTAATATAACACAATCACTATAATACAATATGTGACAAAGAAAAAAAGATATTGGTTCATTTAGACATTTAGTAGAAATATAAAATAGTTCGATTAAAAAAAATGAACTACTTTATTTCTAAAAGATAAGACTATTATAATTGTAGCAAGGAAATAAAGAAAATACATTCAAGTTATTCTACTTTTCTATATGGTAGATTGTTATGACAAGATTTATGATAGGATTGTATGCAACAAACTTCCAGAAGCTTGGCACTCAGGTCGATCAGCAATCAACAAGCACATTGAAATCAATCCAATTTATCAACCATTCTGGAAAATTATGCACAAAAATAGGAATAAAAACCAAACCAAAGGAAGATACAACCAAAACAAAGAAGTAAACAATGACAGGTTTAAGGTCAACAAGAACTAATCAAGATCGAGGTCTACAGGACAAGCTGTGAACCACATGTAGAGAAATTCAGATACTTCACTTCTATCTGAAGTTTGTGCTGATGATTTCGTTCAGAAGAACGATGAAAGCTCCACGACCAAAACATCCAGCTCAGAGAACACAACTCCATCAAAATCATCCACCTGAGCTACATATCTTCTGCACCATACAAAAGTTTACACCCAAGTGAATAACCATTAGTCAAGGACAGAAGTATAGTATTAATTTGTGCATATAAAGAAACACTTGAGGGGGAAGTCAAAAAAGGAAGTTTAGAGGTGAAAGTTGATGTAGGAGGAATAATAGGAATTGGAGAGGGAGGTTGATTATGAATACAGTGGTCTTGAGTGCTGTTAGAAGTATGAGGGCGGTTATCACTTCCCGGTTGCTCACACTATGGAAGGGTTCTTCTGGAGGTACCTGAAAAGGAAATTGGATTAGAGGTGGTCTTAGTGACCTGACAGCGTGACCGCAGTGCCCAAGGGACAACTGTTTGAGGTCGGTCACACACAACCTTTTTAAGGGTAATTTTTGTGTTAGCTCTGTACTTGTTGAGACCTTACCGCCGGAGACGGATATCCGTGGGATAAGGCGAGGTGTGCATTTTTAGGGTCGACCCTTTCTAACCCCACCCCTCCTTGAGGAAAGGCAGCATCGCTATCATGCTGGTTGTCTGAAGGAAACACCTTACTGCTGTCACACCTCTGTACAGTCAGCAGTACGACTTCGCCTTCGAACCTTGGGTTTGTTGCTTTTAGTCTTACTGCTCTTCAACCGACCTGTCTGACATGGTAGGACCTTGAAAAACGGTTGTTCCAGCAAGTATAGCTCGGTTCCTTCATCACGATAGGCAAGCCCGACCACCACGACAAGGTAGCAACAACGGTCGGGAAATGCAAAGTCTTTTGGTAGCACTGAGCAACAATGCCAAAATGTTTGGAATGCACTTCTCTCCCTCTTAATCCAAGTTGTTGCTTCAGGAATGATCTGCGTCAACACCTGAACTAAGGATAGAGAGTGAAGTAGTCGAACGCGTTGACAACTCCACTTATCTTGGAAGTCTGATCAGCCCTAATGGGTTGGTATCGGACGAAATCTCAGCACGGATTCGAAAGCTCGTTTGGCTTTTGCCAACTTACGTCACCTTTGGCGAAGGTGAGATATCAGTCCATCAATTAAAGGACGAGTATACTGCGCGGCAGTCCGTTCTGTTTTAATTTACGGCAGCGAAACATGGCCATTAATAGTAGAAGACACTCGTAAGCTACTAGTATTTTGACCACAGATGCCTTAGAAATATTGCTGGCGTCTGCTGGGATCACCGGGTAAGTAATAGTGAGGTTAGACGCAGGGTGTTAGGGAATGATGGTAAATCAGTTGATGAGGTTGTGAATCTTCATCGACTGAGATGGTTGGGTCACGTTAGGTATGCCTGAACACCGAGTACCACGACGCTCAATGATGACTAGTGTTGGGAATAGTTGGAAGAAAGTTGGGGGCGGCCAAACCAGCCAAACGTGGCATCAGTCCACAAAGTCACTAACTTCTACTTTGAGCCATGTTGGTAGATGCAGACTACTCAGTTAGGGTCCACGTGACTATCGTAACCAATGGTTGGAGACTGTGGGTGGCATGACTCAGAATCGACCACAATGGCGTCGGTGTATACACTCTCTGTCTTCCCTTAAACTAAGAGATTAAAATCGCCTCATATCTTTCTTTCTACGAACTAATTCTTTCTTCCTGTACTATATCCTTATTGCAATCTTTCTTCTATATATTACCACCTCTGAATTAACTACTTTTATGAATCCGGTGTCCATCTTGTTGTGTTAATGAGGTATGGAAACTTGGACCGATGCATATGTATGCCTGGCCCTACGTTGTAGCTGACTGACTGACTTTGCATTTCATTAGCGTCTTTACCAAACAGGACTATGTCATCTAAGTCGATAAGTGGATCTCCTGGTAGGAGATCGATCGCCGAAAATCCAGTCTACGAGCAGTGGGTCTATGATGAAATTAAACAAAAGTGGAGATAACGGACAGCCTTGCCGTACACCACTTGAGGTATCGAAACCAGGTAACAGTTCGCCATAAGCTCTGACTCGACCAGTAGTGTTCCAGTAAAGAGCCTTCACAAGATTTGTCTTTAATTTTATTATTAAAGACACAATTTGTGATCCCGTCATGCTCCAAAAATATCTGTAATCAAGTGACCGTTAGCTTTGGATGCGCTTCAATTAAAATGATAGTCTTCTGGCAAACGGTATTTTTGATAAGTGCCAGAGCGACAGTTAAGACAAACTAAGTAAACTTTGTTTGTTTAGATTTACATGAAACTATATTATATTTAGAAGTATCATAATTCTGAGATAAAAAGTATGGGAGTAATTTACTACACAACCACTTCCGTTACTTCTACACGTGCACAGTATTGACCTGGATTGGCAAAATCTACTGTGCAGATAAACTGGCCGCCTTGAGTTAGTGAGCGTTACAACTTATTTCTGGACTTTAGTCAATGTAATTCATATTCTGCATTTGAAATGAAAGGCTGATTATAGCTAACCTAACTGATAACTAATAGATTTAGAGCCACTATTCAACACCAAGATGCGGGCTCAAGAAAACTAATTGATTTATCCTAGCTTCTTGCAAGAATATCGGATTCCAGTCAAAAATTTAGAGAGTGACTACTCAATACGCATTTGCATGATACTTTGTGAAGCAATAGTTGGGAATACTCAGATAGCATGGTATATTATGGAGTCAAACAGGGAACTTTTAGAGACAACAATAATCTCAACAAATTTTTGTCAGTAATACGTGGATAAACAGCATTTAAGTATCACCGATCAAGTTGGATACAGTTAACTATACTTACTTGTTATTTTTTAGTGAACAAACAGACAGTCTGTGTGTGGGGAACTGACGTATATGCCAAGATGAATCGGATCCTTTTATTACATATGGTATGTAAGGGGTTTGACAATCTGTAACACACAGGCTGAGAGAATCACCTTGATCACTTGAAGTCGGCAAAACACGAGAGAAGAGTGCACCCGGTTTCTTTACTAACCGTTTCATAAACTTTCGAAGGAATTTTTCTACTGAGGATTACAGGTGTCCAGAAGCATTTTAGAAGTGTAGCCTGGAGGGATTTGAACCACTGAAATGACGTAGTCGTCAAGGTCCATTCTCAACAATACCTTCGAGAGATGAACTTTGTATGGTTTGTTATCAATGAAAATGCCCTCAATTTAATTAAAAAATTGTTGCAATTTGAATGGATCAAACAGTTGTGTTTATAAACACACAATCGGATCTATTTGAACAATCAGAAGATTCTGATAAGATTATTTCCGGAATATGACTTTAACTGAAGTTATTCACAGACAGCGAAATACCACAATCAATGTGGAGGACTTAACTATACGATGATTAGATGAAAATTTAGTAAATCAAATATTTTCGTAACGAGTGACTATAGTTGTTGATTTATTTGAACTCGTGTTGTATTGTAAGGTGGAGGTATCAGATTCCTTGTTATCAGTTGACCGCAGTAGTTCTAGTAGCAAGTAGTTTGGAATTTTCTCGTTTTTTTCTCTTGATTACACGCGAACAAAGAAGAAATCCGCAGAACACGCAAAAATTAGTACTTCCTTGGTCTTTAATCAGTTTTATTTGATGCAGTGCTGATAAGACTACAAAGCGTTCTATTTGTTTTTAGTTTGTAGACTAGTAATGTAGCGCCTGACTATTGGTAGATTTGCCTGTAGTCGGAGGGTACATTCTATACTGAGATGTAGAGGTTCGCGGATAGCCGGAAGGTACTTTGTGTACTAAGAGAACAAGCAAAATAGCGTGAATGAGGAGAGCTACAAAAGAGAAAAGAAAGAGTGAACCAAAGACCCAGGAAGCACACACGATGCACCTGCATTTACTAAGAAGAGAAACAGACAATAATCAGCATTACCATAAGCCTCAAACTAGCATGATCTGGAAATTAATTGATTTCCAGTTTTAAAACTAGCAGACAGCTTAGCATGCTACACGGAGGTGTGGTCAGTGTGTTATTCCAGGAGAAAACGAGAAAAAGTTATCTGATGATACTGATACACTTACACTAAACAATGAGAACAATGAAAAATAGTATACAACACCAGGAGCGTCGATGGGCTGCAGTAACGTCTGTAGTAAATACTGCGCCATAAATCCAGTCTTAGGTCCTCAATATGTTTTTGACGTGCTAGTATTGTTTCAGACTAAAGAGAATGAAACGAAATGGTGACAGGTAACTAACCATAATGCGTATAAAATTAACGACGGATAATCTAACAACAAATAAGCAATAGCTACAACGTGAAACTGGAATTTGAAACGACCCAAATGTATGACCACAGAGTCGGTAAAGGTATAATTTATAGACGAAGCAATCAGATTTAAAAGCAAAACTAAGGGCATATGTTCGGCGAATCGGCATTGAATCCTTCCCAAATTATCGATCAAGCTGAGCGTATCCACATTTTAGAATACTTAACACTATACATTGTTTACCAAACTTCCCTAGTGTCAGTGATGATTAAAATGGAATTATCAAATCTCCCCATAAAGTGGGTACGTATAAAAGGCTGGCTGTTTCTTTCGTAATACAGTTCTCCGGTCTTTGGGCAATATATGCTCTGTATTTCGAGTATTTTAAAGAAGCTGGATATTCTGACAATAAACGTAGGATTGCTCTGACTAGAAAACTTATTTGATCATGTAACTGCAGTGACCTGCTTTTATCAAGAGAACGCGATCGGCTTAATGAAAACAATTATTATTATAACCAATTGTACCGGGGATTGTTTCACCGTACTTGTTTTTTTAACTGTACCAAAACACATATCTTCTTCCGTTGCTTGTGACCTTGCACGAATTCGGTTACGCTCAGTAACCACACTTGTAACCTGGCACGATCTCGGTATTCTTTCGATACCACGAGATCGCCAACAAATACATTTCAACTACAGCCATCAACTGCCTTCTGATATTTGGCTTACAGGGGATTTTATCGTTCAACTGGCACGTAGTCTTCCTGCAGTGGTGATCATAATCAACTGCGACTCGACTCCACACTTCATATATATGACGTAACGTTGCATATTTTAAGCGGTCATATCATTGTTGTCTGACTTTTGTAAACGGGTACTTGTTATCGAGAGAAATAACTAATTATAGTTTATGAACTTTCGTCCAATATCTGCTAGTTATTTGTATCAGGGTAATGTAAGCAGTCACATCTCCATGATTCACTTGCTTGATGGTCATAACGATTCTTCAGAAATTCAAGTAATTTACTCATTACAAGGTTCTTTTCAATATCATAAGTTAAAGGATGCTGTCCATTGAGTGGTATTCCAGAGTTACATTAGGAGGAATTTCGAACGGTTATACATAAATTTCGCTTAGCCAAATGAATATGGATAGTATCTACTTGAGAAAAACTTATTAGAACTTATGAACTTTGACGAGTTGTTCAGTAATTCAGACTCAGATTGAGCTCCTTGGACATTTATTGTTGTGACTGTCCAGTTTTGGTGGAAATTTTTATTTGAATTGTAATGTCAGTCGTTGGCACAGCAACTGAAAATTCAGGAAATATACTAATAGATTTAAATAAGCAATTGAGACTATCTGTTTACGCTAAAAAACCTGTTAAATCAACTTGAATGTAAATAGAAGATACAAAGGGCAATGAAAATATTCCGATGGTGAGTTAATGAGTATGTTGAATTTCTCCTGTTGGTTTATTCGGTATTCTCTACACACCTTTTTGTTCGTGTGTAAGTTAGGTCACAAATACTCAATACTCGACAGCTTATTCAAGGTAGTTACAAAGTGTAACATGCCGAATTTCATGAAATAACGATGTCCTCATGATTTTGGGGCAAGACCAATAAGGACCTTTCTTATCACGGTAGTAAAACCACGATTCACACGTTATGATAGATATTTCAAACTTAAATTGCAACTGTCTGATGACGGTGAGATTTCTTACCCCTTGATTCCTTTCTCTCAAGACTTTTGGTTTAAGCAACGACCATAAAATGGAATTTGATTTGTAATAAATCATCTGCCGAGTATCCGTATCTCTGTCACCTTATGTGTAACTGATGAAATGAGATGTGAAGTTAACGGTATAGAGGTGGAGAATATTTATCCGTGTTTCCACGCAAAGTACTTACTGCTAACTTATGATACACACAAATCACAAATAGCTTATCTTCTAACATGTGGAAGCGAAGAAATGACGATTGCTATTTAGCCACAACAAGTGTGGGGTCATGCATTTCGGAAATCATACCCATGAAATACTGTTGTATATGCTACTTAAGTTGATAGTTGCTGTATGTAGCACCAACCGTAAATGTAATGCTTGCCAGCAGAAGACTGGAAAATTTGGATTGGAGAGAATGTGAAGAAAAAATCAGGCAACTGTACTAACAACAGAATTGCAAGAATCATGACGTATATCAAGGACGACTGAAGAAAGTTGTGAAAATAATATATTTCATGCATCATTTTTATACTTTATTAAGGCATTCCGTAACTTTGCACTGAACATTAAACTGGTTTTCCTGGACTGAGTTCTCGCTTAATATACATTCACCTTACTTCAACAAAGCAGAGTTCAAACATTAAAATTAGTCTACGATCCAGGTATTAATTTGAGGAACATGCCTCCTCTATCGATCGTAAATCTAGACCGATGATGAGTTTCCTAATAGAGGAATCCTTCACAATAGAGGCTGAGCTAACCATTTTCAAAGTGTGTATGCAATTGTCTCTTGAATGTTGTTCATTTATCTTCTCAAACATGAACACCACAGCCAAGATACGAGTAGATGATATCCGAAGAGGCTTCACACGTAAACCGGTTGGATGTGACTCAACTCTTGACTACACAGCTAGATGTAAGCAAGTTTACAGCCAAGATCAAGTTGTTACGAGTGCTAAATGCTTTAATTTATTAAGTTACTCAGTAATGTTGGTAAGTTATAGCGCACATGGGCAATCTAAACAGGGGACAGATTTTCATTCATTAGAATATTAATTCTAGTATGACTCTAAAGTTCAATATGAGAGTTGATGCACGTTGTGAGGGCTGCGTTGTGAAAAACAACTGCTAGTCGACAACGACTGGAATTGAAGTCCAGAACAGTCAATCGAAGACGTTAACTGAGTTCGTTTGATCTTATTGATATGGATTTTAGATAAACTCCGGAGGTATAAGTTGCGGCGCACGACAAAGTCGTATGTTCGACAAATGTTTTCTGTGGTGCACCATCAGTATGCTGAAAAATAAGAAAAAGTGTAGTATGAGAGGCGGAACATACAGTGTTCATGACTAGTGAAGTTTAGTCATTCGTGATGGGATAATTAAGGTATATACTTTAATAATTGCAACTTGAAACCATTCTCTTTTGTTACGTCAATTTCTAAGTAAGTATATTTCGACAGGTTAAAGAAAGCAAGCCGAAGTATGGTGTTTAGTGGACAAAGGATTGTGTGAATGGAGGTGATTCAAAAGAGCTTGGAATTTAGGACTATGTGTTTTTTTGAATTTGAGTAAAGAAAACACAATGTTTGGAAATACAGGTGGCTTTTTTCGTCGAATTTATTATAGGTCTTTATTATTATCATTATTACTATTACTTCTGTAGAGCCGTGAGTAGACTGCTGTTTTGCGTAACTGCTCGATTTTTCTTTAAATAAGATTTCTCAGCAGGAAGTGAAACCAATTCAAGGTTACATACTTAAGTCAAAGAGATATTTGGTATAGCAAATTAACATCGTTACCATCGGTTAGTTACGTTTCGCTAGACCTTAAGGAGCCATAGTTTGACAAAATGTTCCTCCCTACAGACATGGGTGGACTGAGGTTATCCTTCACTATTATGTTTGTTGGTTAGTAGCGCCACCATCCCTCCCTCCGTGATGTAGGCTCTTACTTTTGTGGTGTGTATGAACACTGTTGCACACCTTGTTGGAATACGATGTCTCTATTAGTTCCATGTTACGAGCAGATCCTACAGCTAGAAATTTTATATTGTGGGTTAGGCATCCATCTAGTATATCACGCTGCTATGAGGTTAACTAATGGTATGTTTTGAGATAGTAGTTAGATTAATAGTGGTTTAGAAATGATAAGGACAGACAGCTGATCAAAGAATGTGAAAAAAATGACTGGGGTTGAAAAGTGCATGGGTGCAACGATAAGAAAAGACAAAACATTTGAATGCTAATAAAAAAAAATTAGAAATTTTAGAGCATGAACTAGAAGGAAATCACAATAATTTAGAATATTATGGGCTTCCTGTAATCAGCCGTTTTTGAGCAGCGCTCAAAACGTTTGTGATTTGTCTGCTTGAAATAGAAATTGAGAAGTGGCATAGGACTTCGTGGAAAAGATGTACTCGAGCTTAAACATTAGAGAAATTCTGAATCTGGATGTGAGGAGTAGGAGCATAAGGGCATGGATAATAAAGAATAATGGGCTAAGGGAAACGACGTGTTTTATAATTTGTGTATACACATATGAAGACGATGGGATTCCGTTATATTCATAAAATGTGCCTTAGGTTTGGGTAAGAGTTCCAGGAATATTTAATGAAGCTTTTTGGAGTCTGAAGACGGTGTTGTTAGTCTTTTGAAATTGGTAGTGCTGCCACAGTTAGGGACAGGTATTGGCATCCTGTTCCTTAAAATGCAATGACAGATTATATGAAACAACGCATTGATCGTTGGTGTTCTATAGCTGGTAATGTATATGCGTTGTATTTGAGTCTGTAGACACGGCCATGGATTACAATTGGTAGGGAGGTTAAAAATGAGAGACGACATATAACTTAGTAGAAAAATAACATATTGTTGCTTATATAACTGAGTAACTTAATAAATTAAAGCATTTAGCACTCGTAACAACTTGATCTTGGCTGTAAACTTGCTTACATCTAGCTGTGTAGTCAAGAGTTGAGTCACATCCAACCGGTTTACGTGTGAAGCCTCTTCGGATATCATCTACTCGTATCTTGGCTGTGGTGTTCATGTTTGAGAAGATAAATGAACAACATTCAAGAGAGAGTCGCACACGTTTCGATTTTTGACTTATATCAGCACCAATCTCAGGCCGTCAACCAGTTTAGAGATCAAGTGTTTTCGTCCCATATATGCTCTGGTGAACGGAATAAATGTTGTCTATTGCTGCAGATCTGACTGTAAGGGCAATCATTACGCCATCATTAATGCACAAAATACCTT